ACCAATCATGGAATCAAATGCATGGAAATGTAGACAATGTTCAGTCTATAATGAACATGCTAGAAAAATATAAATTAATTGAAAATGATTTGGGGAGACAAAGCACCATCAATGAATACCGAACGTTCAAAGAAAGCAGTAAAACTTCAACATCTGGCATATTAGGTGGCTACAGTAATGGCCACACAACATCCCAAGACCTAAAATCTGCCACAGAGTTGGAGAATTCCTTCAAACTGGAATCATATTTCTCTAGGGTAAGAGCACTATCTGCTGAACAAATACACAGTCACATAAAGGCAAAATCTGGAAGGGTTGCACATCCAGGAGGGCAGTGCCAGAATGGAAAATGGACAGTTCATATTTAAGGTTGTGTCTGAAGGTGCTGATGTTGAACCTGTTGAGTTTAGGGTTGCGTTATCTCCAGAGAGCCAACACTACAATGAAAAGATGTTGAAAGGCATTGACACATGGTTCAGTCTCCTCCCAGAAAGTCAACAAGCTTGTAGAGCACATTGGGACTGCTGTTGGGACGCTGGGCCTACTGCTGGGGATGAAAGGATTTTATATGAATAGGGTGATGTCAAAGATGGTGTGGTGGGAACTTTGCAAAGGCTAATGGAGTAACAGCTATGACAATGTCTCTTATTGCGATACAAACTCCTGTAAGTCCTGTAAAAAGGGCACAATGACTGTTATAAATAAATAAATAAAGTTTTTTTGATGATCAGTCTGAAAGATGTTTTATTTTGAAAAATGACCTGTTTCTCTCCCAATTACATCCATCTGTGTGTCTATGCCTCTTGACACAGGTTAAGACAGGTCAAGATGCTCGTCTCGGTCACGGGATATGTTACCCCAGTTAAGCCCTCAAGCTAGCAAAAATGAGTAAAAAAACAAACGTCTGAGACTGAGATCGCCACAAAAGCACTGAAAACCCTGGTTCCCTTTCCAACATCCTATCTGTGTGAAGCTGGGTTTTCTGTTGTGACAGCGACCAAAACAAAATTATGGAATAGACTGGACATAAGGAACACACTTCGGGTGTCATTGTCTCCCATTACCCCTAGATTGGACGGGCTCGTTGCAGAGAAACAAGCTCAGGGCTCCCACTAATTCTGCGTAATAGTCAGTTGTATTTTTATGTACTTTATATTTGTTTTTATGCCGGTTGTGTCATTTTATTTCGTCGTATTTATCGCCCACACCTTGAAGGCCGGTCCGTGAAAATATTGTCTTACATGAAACCGGTCCGCGGCGCAAAAAAGGTTGGGGACCGCTGCTGTAGTGGCCTTCTCAGTCACCAGATTTAAATCTGTTGCAGCACGGAAACTGAACATTATCTATTATGTAGCCCTTTATCTCAGCATTTGGTTCACTTCTGTGAAGAAAGGTTAATGTAAAGTAACGTAAATTGTCTAATAGAACAATGCCCAAGTGTCAAGGACAAGACAACAATGAATTAAGAACAAAATGTGAAAAAGGAGCCTGTTAAGTATGTATGATTGTAAAACATTATAATGTATAACGTTATAAAGTATAATAAATAAATAATAAAATATGAAATATCCATATCCAAGTATGTCAGTTTACTAAATCTTACTTTTACATAATACAACCTTTTGTATTGATAGTTGATACTGACTGAAAAATAAGTGGGTCTACCTGAAATACCTGAAATACAAATTGATTTAGTCACAAACAACATCACACACACAATACTGTGGTAAGTTAGTAAAGCATTGAATAGAAATATCTAAAGGTGGCATTAGAAATCAATACATTTGACACCAAACTGGGGTGTCCAGGCATTTTTTAGAGGTGGCTGCCTGCCCTCTAGATCTGCCCCTGGCAAGCATTGACATTAGACAGCACTGAGACTCTTAAATGGGATCCAGGATTCATTCTGTGACGCACACAAAATGTATGGTCACGTTTTTTTTATTGGTGTTTTTGATTATTAATTTCTGAACTTTAAAATGTACTGTCTTATTTAAAACAGTAGAAAAGCAGAAGGATCTACATAACTTCCTGGGAAGTGTGCTTTCACCTATGGGCAGTAGATGGCAGTGCAGCCCTGTGGTTCTCAGTTCAACAGCCACCATTAGCCATAGTCTTGTCCATGTACAGTCAATGTGTGTCTATTCTGTTAAAGCCTGTTTGTAGTCTTCATCAAACTGAGGCCTGTAACATAAACA